GCCCTGACCTTCCTCGTCGCTACCCAACCGAGGTTAGGCTTGACACTTACTAAGTACCGATGTGGCGTACTCATGCCTCTCCTGCGCATGTTTTTCATGTGCATCCATGTACCGCTACTCAGGCCTATCATCCTTGAGGAGGCGACTGCTCTAGAGACTTCTAGGTATATTTACCGCGTCCGCAGACAGAGAAGTCCATTTCTATTCCTGCTTTTTGTATTTAGCCCTTCTGTATTTTTCTGTTCTTATTAGAGATTCTAGAGTTAGAGCTATGTAGTATTGATCTTAGCTTGTGATTCGTGGATTTTCGGGTCTTGGATTTACGTATTGGTATTGAGAGTTAAATATGGTGCATGCCGAGTGACACATTTAAACACTGTTACTACTTTATTTTTGTTTTAAATTATTTTACTTCCACAAATTTTGGGTTTTTCTTCCGCAAATTAGGCTTACCTAGTCGTAGAGACTAGGTGCCGTCATGATGGTTCACGGAGGGCGAACCGAGGTTGTGACACAAATTCAGAGATACCTCATTACTATAAAGTCAAGTTTAGTAAGATATATTTCATACAGTATAAGATGTTAAAGATTCTTTTTAAAAGTTATGGAGTAGGTAGCAACACGCATTTAACTTGTACAGTCTTTGTTTAAGTTACACATACTAGACGGTCAAGAGGGGTTGCTCTGATGGTAAGCAACCCCCACTTCCAACCGAGAGGTTGTGAGTTCGAGTCTCCCCAAGAGCAAGGTGGGAAGTTCTTGGAGGGAAGGATGTCGGGGGTCTATTTGGAAACAGTCTCTCTACCCTAGGGTAGGGGCAAGGTCTGCGTACACACTACCCTCCGTAGACCCCACTAAGTGGGATTATACTAGGTTGTTGTTGTTGTTGTTGTATACTAGACGGTCAACAGAAAGCTGAAATGATGAACAAATTACATGAGCAAGAGAGCCTACGACAAACGAAAAATGAATTGGTAATAAACTGTAGAAGTGTAGAACGTGTAAGCAAAGGAAAAATCAAGCTGGATTGTAGCTTATTTCCTGTGCAGGATAACTACTAACTCTTCCGATTAATTAAGATATAGGGTCAGGAAAGGTCTAACGCGTCAAAGTAAAGTCGGGTTAAACAATCGACATAACTAGTTCAAATACCAAAAACTAGGTTATAAAAGGTAGATTAGATCAATAATCTTAAGTAGTGAAGTCGGCCCTTTGCCGAAATACGATATGTCAACTAATCGCTAGCTTTTTCTAGACTAATATTGTAAAGTTGGAGGGGAAGAAGAATACTATCATTATGGGTGTCAAAGGGGAGGGCGGGTTAAAATGGTCTGGGTCAGTAAATGGGCGGGTCAATGACCCACCAAAAGTTACTTGGGCTGAGATGGGTTGGGTCAAGATATATGGTAAAAATTGCATGGGGCGCCCTATTTGGTCGCCCCCATTTAACCTATACCCATTTTTTTTTAAACTTTTAACTTGTACCCACTTTTTAAATAATTTCAGCCCCCTTTCTCCTCCTCCTTCTCCTCCTTCGTTTTCTTCTTTCTTCTTCTACAACGATGAGTTCAACATTTCTTTCTTTGATTAATGAAGCTAAAGCAAATATACTGAGGACTTCTACTTGGATTATTATAACATTAAAAATCCCAAACCAAGAGACAATAAAAGTTCTTTGAAGTTTCACTGTCTCCCACTTGAGTTGCTTTTGAATGATTCTGCCTCATGACTTCTTTTGAGACCACCAGTGTGCCACCTTTTCCAGTAATTTAGTTTGGGCCTCTGAATATATTTAGTACGATTGGATCAGATAGCATAAAATATGAGAGCCTAAAACATGCTGAAGTTAATCAAATATAGAACAAAAACTTCAGTTCTAGAGCTGAGTTCCCCAGTTACAAAGATAAAAACTTTAGCTCTAGAGATGAAGTTCCCCAGTTACAAAACAAAAACTTCAGCTCTAGAGCTGAAGTTTCCCAATTACAAATTAAACAAAAACTTCAGCTCTGGAGCTGAAGTTCGCCAGTTACAAAACAAAAACTTCAGATTTAGAGCTGAAGTTCGCCAGTTATAAAACAAAAACTTCAGCTCTAGAGCTGAACTTCAGGCCCGGCTACTAGAATGCTGAAGTTTAGCATGATTGTCTTTGCTACTTCAGCCCCGTATGCTGAAGTTATGCGAAAAAAGCGGGTACGCTTGCAATTTTTATTGCAGAGGGGCACAAGTTAAAATATGACACAAAAAGCGGGTGCCCCAGATATATGAGCTAAATATGGGTTATAACCAATTTATAGCCAATCCCCCCCTCCCCAACTCTTATTAAGCTTTAATTAAGGTATGTTATTTTCTTATGACTTATTTAATTATCAAATAAGACTTTTTTTTATCAAACAAAAAGAATTATTTTTAAAGATATTTTAGCAAAGGTATTTATGGATCAATTTGGGCTAGAAATTAGCCCAACTTTAAATATGCTGGTCAAGATGGACTAAGTTAAATAAATGGGCGAGTCAATGACCAATCCAATCTTGGGCGGGTTAAATGATTAGGGTCCAAATTTCTACCCCTAACTATCATAAAACGATCAAAAACTTGAAGAGTTAGGCCGTTAGGAAACTCCTTTAGCTCAATAATGAAAGTTAAGATGGATCGGAATTCGGAGGAGGCTTTACCTCTTAGATGGCCAAAGCACTGCAATTTTTTTGCTTGCTTGGTGCTCAACAAAATTATTAGTTACCAAAAAATAATTTAAATTTGAACACGTGAGGAACTTATAAGAAGCGGTTTCCTAGCATTAGCAAGAGGGAAATGTTGCATCTCAAGGGGGAATCTTTCCAAGGTCTTGAAAAATTGCAAGACATTAATGCTTAAAAATTGGACTAATTAATTACGCAGTTGTATCAAATAAGTGTTAGAATTATTTTAATTTGATGTTAATGAATTAATTTGTATCCTTTTAATTAGTGTTAGATGATGCAAATTTACAGCTTGTTTGGATTGTTGTTACTTATTGTATCGTATTATATTGTTATTCCAAAACAACAATTGTTTTGATTGTTTCATTAAAATTGGTTGTATTGTATTGTTAAATCCGTTGTTCTCGAACAATGAAAAGTCTCTTTTTTTTAAACAACCGATTTGATGTGATGGGATTGTTTTCTATTTTTCTTTCCAATTATGTCCTAACTTATTACTCTATAATTCTATTTTATCCTTTACCTTTTTTTATGTTAACTCCAAATCTCCCATCTATAGCCTACTTTATCTTCATCCCTTTTTTTCCCAGAACTTCTGCCGCTTTCAACTCCAACGTAAAATTGCTAATTGTGTTAGAATTTGTATGAATTTAATTACTTAATCTATTTATAAAACATATTTGGTGATAAATTAGTAGAAAAGGGTTCTCTTAAATTATTTTATGTGTAATTCTTGATAAATTTAATATTTAAACAATTGAGGGTGTTTTAATAAACTTATATGTTATAGTACAGTACGATATAATCAAACCAAACAGTAAAATATTATTTAACAACAACAAACAATACAATCTATCCAAACGTTATATTTATAAAACGATACAATATAATATAACACAATACAATGCATTATAAAATGATAGGTAATTCTTTTAGAAAAGGAGAATGATGGAATTTGAGAGAATAAGAACTCCATACCGAAAATGTTAAAGAAATTCATGACAATATCTTATGCCTGTTATGTTTAGAATTTTAATAATGTTCAATAATCCTAAAGAAGCTTTGACTAATGATATATTCTTGTATGCAGATTCTCGTGAGCAACAATGTTGCTAAAAGGAAAGAAGATGCACTCAACTGCTATGTATTTTAAACCTTGTTTTACATGAAAAATAAATCAATTAGCCTAAGAACAAAGAAGGAAATCCAATCAATCAGCATTGTCCAAGATCTTTAAGTGTGCAAGAATGGGAAGAGAGCAAATCATGGCCAGCGATCAAATCTAGAAGATTCTGCAGAAGCTCAAGTCAAGAAGGAATGAAGGAAGCAATCCGCCAAGATTATCTCAAATCAAGGAAGAATGAAGGAAGCAATTCATCAAGAATAAGGATGAATCTAGCTACCATTTCAAGCTGGATTCATGAGACTATCCTTGGGTATTTTACTTAGATGTATATGCCTCACAAGGAAAGGACTCCTAGAATAGCTGCAATACAATCCTAAAAGACAAGGAAGCAGAACACTCATAAAGCTATAAAGGAAGAAGTAGAAGAACATTGAAAGGCGTGCAACTACATCATCTGTTTCTAAGCCTTTCTATTTCTTAGTACAAACATTGTGTTCTTGAGTCTACAAGTGTCACAAAAGATAGGAAGAATTAAAACACAAATGAGAGTTGTGTCAACGTCGCAAAAATCACTGTTGTTGTATATCTTTAGTTGTAAACATACTAAAACCATCACTGTTGTAAACATTTATCCAAGATCTAAGAGAACCCTTGTGACCCAAAGGAACTGGACATAGGTACCATACCGGTAATGAACCAGTATAAAAATTATTGTGTATTCTTTACTTTTCTGCTCTTTCAGTTCACTTCCACTGAAATCATTCACCGTGCAAAGTCTAGATGACTAAACTTACATTTAGTCAACTAAGATTTTTAAATCGATTACAATTCACTTCCTCTTGTGCTTTTAATTGCTATCTGACACGGCTCACAAACTTTGCTTAACAGCAAGTGAAAGAAAGATCATGAGATCAAATATAGTTGTTGGAACATTATTTCAAGAAGGAACCTCTCATGTATGACCCCCATACTTCAACGGTCAGCACTTTTCTCACTGGTAAGTGCGCATAGAGACCCATACCATGTCATATGACATTAAAGTTTGGCACATGATCAAAAAGGAAAATCTTCCAATTCCGCCAAAGAAAGATGAAAATAGTCAAGTCATAGTATCATCTGATCCTCTTAATTTAGATGACTACACTGAATAACAATTAGCTGTTATAACAGTGAATGCTATGGCAAAAAATATGGTGTATAATGCTATTAATAGAGAAGAATATGAGAAGATATCAAGCCGTGAAACTGCAAAGGAAATGTGGGATAAATTAGAGGTCACATATGAAGGAACCAACAAAGTGAAAGAAACAAGGATTAATCTCCTAGTTCGAGACTATGAATTATTTCAAATGAAGGATGGAGAATCAATAGAGGAAATGTTCTCCAGGTTCAGAAAAATCCTTGGAGACTTAAAATCTTTTGGTAGACAAATCAAAAGCGGAGAACAAGTCAGAAAAATTTTGAGAGGTCTTCCCACAATTTGGCAACCCAAAGTCATTGTCTTGGAATGTCAGGATCTTGACAAAATATCAAATGATGAACTTAGAGGTGATCTAATTGTATTTGAGAAAACACGCTTAGACAGGCAGATTCAACAAGAAAAGAAGAAGACATTTGATTTCAAAGCAACTATGACCAAACCAGAAAATGAGGAAGAAGAGGAAAGAGGAGAACAAGATGAAAACATAGCTATGCTCTCAAAAGTTGTAACAAATATGATGAGGAAGAAGAGAAATAGCAGGAGAGGTAAATCAAACTTTAGAAAAAGTAGGATGAACAATGATAATGATAAAAATGATGGAAGTTTCTATGAATGTGGAAAACATAGACACACTCAAGCCGAATGCCCTGAACTGAAGAAGAAACTAAGTAAGAATTTTCAAAAGAAGAAGTCCTTTGGAGCTTGGAGTGATGAAGAAGAATATGATCATCAAGAAATTACAAATATGTATTTCATGGCCATAAAAGAAGACAACAATGAGGACTTATGGGATCTTGGACTCATGGCAGACGAAGGAATAGGTGAGGAAGAGGACTTAGGTGAACTTGGTCTTATGACAGACGAAGGAACTAGTGAGGTACGTCTTCCTACATGTCTTAATTATTATGAACTCCAAGAATTTGTTGATATTGCTCTCGTAGATATTCAGAGAGTTCTAAATGAACCCAAAAAAGTCAAAAGAGAAAAGACAGACTGGGCTTTGAAGTTGGAAATCTGTGAAATTGAGCGAGATATGCTTCAAGATAAAATTGATGAACTTCAACTTCAATTGAAAGGATTGCGAAAATCCACCAGTCATAGTTCTATTAGATCAAATCAGATTACTCCTCATACACCTTTGATTAGAACTAGAAATTCTACTACATGTACTTCTTGTGATAAAATAATTACAACACTAACCAATGCAGGAATAGAATCAGAGCAGAAAAAGACTCTGAAAATCCCAATAATCTTTCTTGTTTTTATTGTGGACAACTTGGCCACACTTCTAACCATTGCAGGTTCAAGAACAACAGGAGATGGGTTTGGCGACCTAAATCTTCTAGTTAAGATAATACTCAGAGCTCTAACCATTCAGGACCCAAGCAGACTTGGGTTGGGTACATAAAAATAAGTAGTCCTTTTTTGCAGGAACACCGCAAGAAGAATCGAAAAGAAAAATAGTATCTTGACAATGCGTGTTCCAGACATATGATTGGTGATGAACAATTATTCAAAACAGTCACCAAACTAGATGGAGGAATAGTTACCTTTGGAGATAAATCAAAAGGAAATGTAAATGGAGTTGGAAGGGTTCCTCTTACCTCAACATATGATGTAGATGAAGTGTATCTGGTTGATGAACTTGATTACAATCTTCTCAGTATCAGTCAACTATGTAATAATGACTACGAGGTTCATTTCAAAAAATATGGTTGGTTTACTGAAAATGAATCAGGTAAAGTTATTCTCTCTAGAAATAGGGATAGAAATGTCTATACTATCAGTAACTTAGATAGTTTTGGTAATCAAATCTGTCTAGCTTCTATAATTGATGACCTTTGGGTATGGCATAGAAAACTTGGTCATGCCAGCATGCATACTATTCATAAACGTTTCAAAAATGATCTTGTCATTGGTCTTCCAAAAGTAGATTTTTCAAAAGATCAAATTTGTGATGCATGTCAACTAGGAAAACAAACCAGGTCCTCTTTTAAAGCCAAAGATATTGTTTCTACTACAAAGCCTCTTCAAATCCTGCATATGGATCTTTTTGGGCCTACTAGAACTGCTAGCATAGGTTGTAGAAAGTATGCCTTCGTTAGAGTAGATGATTTTTCTCGATTCATCAGAGTTATTTTTCTAAGTCACAAGGATGAGGCATTAAGGAACTTTGAAGTCTTCAGCAAGAAAGTGCAGTTAGAAAAGGTTACTACATATCCTCCATAAAAAGTGATCATAGAGGAGAATTTGAAAGCAAAGCATTTGAGAACTTCTGCAATGATCAAGGGATCTCTCATAATTTTTCATCTCCAAAATCACCACAACAAAAGAGTACGGTGCAATCTTCGACAAGAATATTATACAAAGTTTTCCCTACTCCAGGTATGTTAAGGTAATCCCTTCTTTCTTTTGGCACGGTCCAAATTATATAGAAGAAACGAGCAAATGCGCAGTTTCCATAAATTATTATATCCATAGAAATACTAGGGGTATCTATATTCTTGATTCCCCATGTGAATTATTATTATCTTCTGCCCATGGGTCTCAAAATAATACGTAGTTTAAAGTTTATCCGGAAGGAACATTGAGATTTTTATGTATTTTTCATGCATTTCACCCATTTATACATGTGTATTGACCTATGACCAGATGGAGTTATATACACACACACACACACACACANGTTGGTATATGTTGATAATGTTGCCCATAGTGGACGAAATGATATGATGGGATGCCCTCAAGTGGCTTGATGATATTATGTACGCCCATACCTATGCATGACATGACATTTATACGCACGTGCATGATATTATAAATGTTTCAAAATTTACAAAGTTATTCAGATTTACAGATGGATTTCTTTTATTCCATGTTTCTTCTATGTCTTTTACGTAGTAATTTTCATACCTTACATACTCAGTACATTATTCATACTGATGCCTTATTTTACAGGGTCTGCGTTTCATGCTCACAGGTGCAGGTAAGCAAGCTGACGTTCCCCCTTCTTAGGATCTTTGCTCAGCGAGAGTTGGTGTGCTCCACTTGATCCGGAGCTGCTTTTGATTTTGGTACGATATGTTTGTATATATATAGGTATGATGTGGCTCAACCCCGTATTTGTACAATTATATTTCTATTAGAGGTCTATAGATAGTATGTGTAGTTGGGTTGTATGTGGCCTTGTCGGCTTTCAGTTTTGGGTGTATAGTTGTCTATATCAGCCTTGCCGGCTCGCCCACTATATTCTACATGTATACGTACATATGTCTTTCTGGCATGTTTCCTTCATGTATGTTATTTTCGTAATTCAACAGATGTTATTCAGGTTTATATCTTAAGATGCATGCTTAGGGGTGTTTGACAGGTAGGACTCAAGCACCCTGTAGACGCCCTCTTTTTCTATGGGTCGAAATCGGGTATACGACATTGGGAGGACAACTCTATTCCCTTTCGATAATTGGGTCTTAGAAGTTGAAGATTCGCCACCTAATGATTATAGTGCATTAAGACACTTTTAAGAAAGGTTTGAGATGAAGAGACCAGAGATTAGGGTAAGGGCTAGAAATTATCCCGAGGGAAAGGTGTTAGGCACCCCTCAGGATCCACAAGTGTGGTTCCCGGCCATGCTACAATTGTGACTTTAAGAAGACAAGTAGAAAAATAAAGTAAAGGGCTTCACATAGTTTTGCAAACAAGTTTAAGAGTTGAAGAAGTAGAGAGTTTAGAAAATTAGTTTACAAGAAAACTTAAAAAAATTAACAAGTAAAAGGGAAAGGGGTCCTAGGTTTACCGATAATATAGATCACATCAATGCAATATCCAGCAATCACTCCTCAGAAGAGGGGTCGCACGTGATATTAGCGCACCGGTCATCATATCCATATTTTACCCTTCCCACCCCGTTAAGGTATTAAAGCACAGAAAGTTTCGTTACTTATTTCATGCTAGTACCCATCCCAATCCTATCAGTCCCGGAGGCATTTAGGACTACTAATCCTAAAGGGAAAGGGATTTGGGGCCTTTTGAGAGTTTCAAAGGATAAAATACAAAGGCGTCAACCAAAAACACATAATACAAGTAGAGGGGAAAGCAAATAAGCGGGTAAGGCTCAAGTAAACCTCCATAAATCAGATAAGCCATGGAGTTTAGCATGTCTTGCATGTACTGGTTTGGTCTTTAAAAATTAAAGCAATAAGCGGACTGATTCAACACATATTTTTAGACAGGAAGTCCGCATTAGGCTCACTCGAATGCAGTTGTCAAACACTGAGCCACTTTAATTAGTCAACTTTACCTTAAGTGTGAGACAGAACTACTGATTGTAAAGGAGTTGTAGAATAATATAAGTTTCAAAAAAGATTGCAGACTTAATACAAAGAAAATGGTTTAAAACGAGGTTCAGAAAACATACTTGTTTAAGAAAAAGAGTTGCCGAGTTTTAACAAAAGAACTGAATTGCAGACTGATTCAAAAGGTTTATCAGATAAGTATAAAGAAGTGAATTCAGATTGATTTGAAAAAATGTTTGTCAAATTATCAGGAAAGCAGTAAGTTTTCAGAAAATATGCATTGATTTGAGAATATTTATCAAGAAGGAAAAAGATGCACTGATTTGGTTGCAAGAAAAGTTTTAAGGGTTCAGAAAACGTGCAGAAAGTCGCTTGTTTTAGCAAAAAGGGTCAGTACTGTTTTAGACGAGTGAAACAATTCTGATTTGAAGTTCCTATAGGCATGATCTCTACGAGTTACTGATTTTAATACCTTTCAAACGTTAATAGCCTTATAAACATGATATCTATATGCTGATTTATCATTAAACCTAACGGTTTGCCTAATGTCATTATAAATGCAGAAATGCAAATCCCTATAGGCATGGTATCTATATGCATAGTTGCAGAAATCAGAAAGTTAGATCCTATAGGCATGGTTTCTACTTGTGAGATTGCATAGATTAACAGTAAAAGTCCTATAGGCATGGTTTCTACCCTTTTGTGCATAAAAGTAAATTCCCTCCCCTTTTCACTAGATCCCCGAGTTTATACAAATTATTACAGACCAGAAAAATAAGACAGAAATAAAAATACATAAGAAATTACAGCTACATCCGAGCAGCCTAATTCAGACTTAGTATCTAACAATATGAGATTGAACCACTTCCGAGATCCAGATTTCCAAAGCCTTCTCTTATCTAGGGTGATTTAGAGATCCAAGGAGTTTCAAGAACTCCAGGCAGTGCTTACACCCAAGATATTAATTAGAAAGAGTTATAGTGCAGTGTGGAAGGGCCAGCCGTCAGGTGTCCAAGTTCAGAGGGAGCTCCGGGGGTCCCAAGGCAAGGCTCACAAGAAAGGGGCAGAATTTAGTTTCTAAGAATGAGTGTAAGTGCAAGAGGGGGGTTAGGGAGTGCCATGGCAGGCTGGTGGNTAGCCTTATAAACATGATATCTATATGCTGATTTATCATTAAACCTAACGGTTTGTCTAATGTCATTATAAATGCAGAAATGCAAATCCCTATAGGCATGGTATCTATATGCATAGTTGCAGAAATCAGAAAGTTAGATCCTATAGGCATGGTTTCTACTTGTGAGATTGCATAGATTAACAGTAAAAGTCCTATAGGCATGGTTTCTACCCTTTTGTGCATAAAAGTAAATCCCCTCCCCTTTTCACTAGATCCCCGAGTTTATACAAATTATTACAGACCAGAAAAATAAGACAGAAATAAAAATACATCAGAAATTACAGCTACATCCGAGCAGCCTAATTTAGACTTAGTATCTAACAATATGAGATTGAACCACTTCCGAGATCCAGATTTCCAAAGCCTTCTCTTATCTAGGGTGTTTCAGAGATCCAAGGAGTTTCAAGAACTCCCGGCAGTGCTTACACCCAAGATATTAATTAGAAAGAGTTATAGTGCAGTGTGGAAGGGCCATCCCTCAGGTGTCCAAGTTCAGAGGGAGCTCAGGGGGTCCCAAGGCAAGGCTCACAAGAGAGGGGCAGAACTTAGTTTCTAAGAATGAGTGTAAGTGCAAGAGGGGGGTTAGGGAGTGCCATGGTAGGCTGGTGGTCATGCCTAGCCATAGGATAGGCTGGCACACCCCTGACCAGGCCTGTTCAGCCAACAAAGAAGAGCACAGACCTATTGAAGGTCAGACTATGGTCTGGACAGTGATTAGGACACTGCCAGACCAAAGTCTCAGGCTCAGAATACACATAAAGGGAAAGGGGAATGGGAATTGAAAGAGTTTAGGACTCAGGGAGTCCAGTCCATATACATGAACAACAATATCAAGTGTTGTCATGTTTTCTGAACCATAACTCAACATACAAAGGGTTTAGGGATGGGGATTCATATAGGAGCAGGAATAAACAAACTTGCAAAAAGCAGTAAAATAAACAAAGAGAAGACTGAAGCATAAACACATAAGATAGAGGCAGAATTTAAACAAGAAGAGACATACCAGTTGCAGAAAAGTAAGCAGGAAGAAAAATGGAATACTTGTAGCCAAAGCACAATCAGAGAAGAGGACTCTAGCTTATGAGTTCAGAGAAAAACTCGAATGCTTTTAAGAAAAACTAAGAGTATTTGAGAGAAAAAGTAGTGACTTATGCTGTGTGTGTTCGTGATATGCAATGTGTTGGTGAGTGTCATGCAAAAGAGAATGGGGAGTACATATAGTACTGAAGACGAGTAAAGAATAAGGTAACAAGTATAGCTTTAACACAAATATGGGCATGATCACAATCAGAATCAATTAACACAAGACTTCCCTTTAATCAAGGGATTATTGTTCAAACGGATACTAACAGGATCAAAAATAAGGAAAGAAAATCAGCCTGTAAGCAGAATGGTTTTTGCCATAAAAGGAGCAGTAAAATCATACAATAGGTATTTAAGTCCAAGTATAGGATTGTACTTATTTTTGGAAAGGGTTTAGTAAGGCAAAACCAAGAAAGAGAATCAATCAACCCTTAACAGGCGAGTAAGAGGAAAAAGTTTTGAAATCAGTTTTGAGTTTGAAAATCAATCACATAAGGGATTCAGTATATAAAGGAATGCACAAGTAATAGACATGTGAGGCCAAGCTATGGCAAAAGAAACAACATACAGTAGTAGCATAGAGCAAGCATTCGAAGCATGATAGTCAGGTTTCAGTGGTTTAGTAATAGAGAAAAGGATCAGAGGCATGCAAAGAGTCGAGTGAAAATCATGGTCGAGTTTGACAGGTAGCAAGAACTCAGAACCAAAAGAGTCACATAAAGAAAAAAGAGAGTTGAAGTAAAGGAATCTCATTGAGCAATTTCAACAGACGAAGAACTTCAGGAACTCAAATAGACCCCCAAAGAACTAGGGTTTTCAAAATCAGTCAGGTTTAGAGGCGATAAACAAGTGAAACAAGCAAACAAATTCAGAATCTCGAATAAACCCCAAAAATTAGGGTTTTCAACATGCTAACTCAGATAGAAAAACAAGGTAAANTCAACAGACGAAGAACTTCAGGAACTCAAATAGACCCCCAAAGAACTAGGGTTTTCAAAATCAGTCAGGTTTAGAGGCGATAAACAAGTGAAACTAGCAAACAAATTCAAAATCTCGAATAAAACCCAAAATATTAGGGTTTTCAATATGCTAACTCAGATAGAAAAACAAGGTAAACGAATGTTAACAAACAGACTAAGAAACTCAAACAAAATCTCAAGAATTAGGGTTTTAAAATGCTAACTCAGATAGAAAATAACAGAAGCAAAACACAGTAAACATGTCGAGAATTAGAGAAGAGACTCGAAATACCTTAACATAAAACCCTAATTAAAGAATAAAGAGTTTTGAAAGCAAAAAATTAAAGAAACTTTAAGAAAGATGCTTAGAAAGTTCAAACACATATAGATCCGGGGCAGATCTGAAATAAAATCGAAGGAACCTTAGAGATTAGGATTTCATAAAAAAACCAAGCGATGAGAAAGGCTTTGAAAA